TATGAGAATGAAGTCACTGTAGAGCGGAAAAGAACAGAACACATTTCTTTCTAGGATAAAAAAGGTTGCATTCTTAGAGTCAGCTTTTTTAAAGTTGTTACACTTTAGGACAGACCCTATTGATAATTAGTTGTCTAAATCTAAACATAAACATGTTTGTCCAAATCTATTTTGTGTTGTCCGTGACACACCGCTACTATTCGGGAATCTAGAGTTCTTTCGATTTGAAAACATTGATGTAATTATTATTTTTTAATGGTTATTATTAATTATTATTATTTTTTAACTACTAATGGGAGTGTAGTTAAAAGCAATAGCATTAATCAGCACTTACTGGTACATGTATTCGTGATCGGCTTTTTGCTTACTGAGTCTTCCAGAACTAAGGGGGTCCTTTGGAGTTCTTAAAGCGGTTCTAAAATAACCGCTTTAACCTTACTTTTAAGTTATTATCATAATAAATTTAATCCAAACTTCTTCCTATATATTCATAGGTTTTTCAGGCTTGTGCGGATTGGCGAACAACAATAAGATTAGCTCAAACTTACGATGAAGACACGTTGGAGACCTTAAGTTTAAAGTAAATTTAGTTTTTACTACATTACATAAAACTACACTTTGTGCTATCACAAATTATGTATTTATATATTACAACAGATACATCAACCCATCGCCAAATACCTATACATTTACGAAAAACTTAGCCGAGCAAATAATAAATGAGTACCGTTACAAATTACCAGTAGTAATCTTTAGACCATCAATAGGTATTTTATTATAAAATAAATATATTTTCATGCGATTTGAATTTCTTTAATTTCTTATATCAGTTTTGCCTGCTCTTAAAGAACCATTGCCTGGTTGGATAGATAATTTAAATGGTTCTATAGGTCTTATGCTAGCCTGCTCTTTGGGTATCTTGCGTACTAATTATATTACACATTCACTTAGATACGATCAAGTACCGGTAGATATGGTAGTACGTGCTATGTTAATAGCATGCTTTAAGAAAGGATATCTGTAAGTAAATTATATAAGTTTGGAACTATTAATATTATATTAACAATGATATATGTCATAAAAAAAATGATCAGTTCGAGAGACGATAACAATTTAGATGTTTATAACATGGGCTCAAAAGACTACATACGCCTAAACTTAAGAGAATTTCTTATATTAGCTGAAAAAGAATGTAAAAAAAATCCGTTTAAGAAAACATTATGGACTCCTGGCGGAAAACCGACATTATGTCCATTTACATTTGTAATAAGAGTAAGTAAATTTTTCAAGTTATTCGCATATGTACGCATACATAAAATATGCTTAATAGAGAAAGCAATTCATATATTACGATTTTTTTAGTATATTTTCCTACAACTTTTGTTGTCATATCTGGGAGATATTGGTCTGCGTTTATCTGGGCAGAAACCATTGTGGGTATTAAATATTTATAATAATTATTTGATATATTTTCCAAATTTTCTAGCCTTTTTAAATTGCAACGACGCATTTTTGTTGCAAATAACGCAATTAGATATTTTACAAATAGAGACTGGATTTTTAAAAATGACAAATCCAGAGGTTTGGAGACTATAATACCAAAATCGGAAATGTAATTCTATGTTTTAGAATAAATCAATGTCTTATTAGCTAATTAAAATATTTTTTTAATGTTTAGTGACAAATTTGGCTTAACGGAATACTTACATCGAGATGAAGCTAAAATTACCGCTACTTATATACGTGGCTTGAAAGTATTTTTAATGAACGAACCTGAAGAAGCCAGTAAAGGGACTTGGAGACGTTTTAAAATCTTAACGTATACCAATTATTTATTACAATTTTTAACTGTTTTAATAGCAGTAAGGTTTCTCATATATTTGCTTTTTTAATATTTCTTTGAATGATATTAAATGAACTTTAAAAATTTTCATAAAAATTAATTTCGTTTTTAAAAAAGTAATAATTGTTTAAAATTGTTTATATATAAATAATTATGTAATAAAAAAAAATAATATGAATTGTTTACTAGTGCTTATGCCAAAATTTAATAAAATTGTTTGTATAATAATTATGAAATAAAAATATATATTAATAACTAGTTATTATGCAATAATTTAATAAAATTGTTTATATAATAATTAAGTAGCAAAAATAAAAATTATATAAATTAATAACTAATGTTTATGCAATGATTTTAGCGATCCTTTGTCTAAGTGTCTTATTCTTAGTGACCTCTCAATCCAGTTATTACTGCTACGATTATTAATCTGAGGTCGTTCTTTTTTACAAGCTCTCTATTAGATTCTTGTAAATCTGGGTTCAGATTCGAAGCACAGTTCTTAATAATCTCTTTATTAAGTTATCGTGCCTCTAGCTTTCGATCTGACTTTACGGTTCTTTATAAACTGTCTGTTGGAATATTGCAAATCTGGTTTTTAATGTAAAGGCATTATTGTAAATAATCTCTTAACTCAGTTATCACGCATCTGGGTTTTTAATTGAGATAATAGTTTTATAATCTCTCTAGTAAGTTGTTGTGATTATAGTCTTTGATTTAAAATAATTAACAGATATACATAATCTGTTAATTCAGTTATTAAACCTCTGTATTTGATTAAAGGTAATTTTTTACAATTTTTATTTTGGGTTATTGAGAACCCAGTCTTTAATTTGAAGTCATGTTCTCCTATAAGAAGATGACTTCTTAAAGATTTCTTCAAAATTTGTCATTTTAGTTGTTTTACCATTGGTTTTTGATTCGAAGTAATAATGTTTCACTTAGTCATGGCTTACAATATCTATATTGTGTTGTTACGGAACTAGTTTTTGTACTAAATTAATAATTCTTAATACTTCCTCAATTCAGTTACTACGCCTTTGGTCTTTGATATAAGGTTATGCTTCTTCATAATTTCTCCTTCAAATTGTCTCGATTTTAGGCTTTTGATCAGTCATTCTTCATAATAATCTCTCAATTCCGTTATTACGCCTCTCGTTTTTGATTTGAGGTTATGTTCTTTATAACTTATCTATTGGAGTAATGTGATTCTTGCTTCTGATTGAAATTTATTACTTTTAATAATCTTTAAATTCAATTATTACGAGTATCCTTTTGCTTTTGACTCGAGGTTGTGATTTTTTACAAAATAACTGACATGGCTTTCTGACGGTTTGTTATGGATCTAGCTTTTTATCTGAATTCACAGTTCCTAATAATCTATTATTTGCGTATCTGACTTTTTGTCTGTACTGTAGTTACAACATATTTATTAGGTTATTGTAACTGTAAATTTTAATCCCAAATCTTTATTCTTAAGAATTTAAAATCCTTGACTCTAGTATCTTGTTAATAGTAAAAATTAAAGTCAAGACAAATAGCTAAAGTTTAAAATTTACTTAATATACTTAAATGTGGTTATCAGTGTAGTTTATATTTAAGCAATTAAATATATAATTGCGATCGTTAAGTCTACAGGTGAAATTTTCCTATTCAAATTGAACGTCTTTATCCATAATTTTTATTCGAAAATCCATATTATATCTACATATATATAAAATCGTTTGTTCGTCTGTTCGTTACTCAATAACTTTTTAATGACTTAACTAATCTTCTTGATACTCTCAGATCTTATTTATATAGTTTTTCGGCGTAACATAGGCTATTAAAACATTCGATATTAGTTATAATTTTAATTTAAATAATAAATTTAATAATTTCCGTTTCAAACTGTCCGACAGTTTGAATGATACTGATTTTCTTTTTATTTTTTTCAAATAAAAAAAATTTATTACATTAGCATAGATTTCAATATATTTTAAAAATTAAACTGGATATATATACATTTGCTTAATAATTAGAATAGAGGAAAAATATATTTTTCTTATTAATTGTAGCTGTGCTTAAAGAAAAAATGCCAAGATTTAAGAATTGAATAAACAACAAAATATTTTTGGGCAATACGTAAGAACTTTACTTTATTCGGAAGTTCCAACATATTTCACATGGAACAAAACTTTAAAAAAGTGGCAGCCATGTAAACGAGGTGTTGCAGTCAATAGTTATCCAGGATTATTTTCAGCAAACACACTGGGTCGTTTATATACTGTTCATCCAAAACAACGAGAGTGTTTTTTTTAAGACTGCTTTTAATAAATGTACGCGGTCCAACATCGTATGAGTATTTGAGAACTGTCAATGGTCAGCTATACAATACATCTCATGATGCATGTAGAGAATTGCAATTGCTGGAAAGCGATAATCATTGGGACATCACGCTCCGGGATGCAGTATTAAGTTCTTTTCCACATCAAATTCGTCAATTATTCGCCATATTGTTGACAACATGTTTTCCAAATAATCCCAAAGAATTGTGGGAAAAATATAAATGCTCAATGAGTGAAGATATACTACATAGACATAGAACAACAAATCATAACTCAAATATTCAATTCAATCGGGAAATTTATAACGAAGCTTTGATTATGATCGAAGACTTATGTTTACTTATATCAAATCAACCAATTAAATTATAAGGATTGTATTCGCCAAATCGTTTGGCAACCGATCTATTTAACAATGATATGCAGTGCGACCTTCAGTATAGCTCTGAAGATTTGGTTGAATTTGTTACAAGAAGCGAACAAATCTTAACGCACCAACTAAAGCTCATTTATGATTGGCTTTCGAACGCAATTGCAGCAAAAGAAGGCGGCTTTTTTTTTCTTGGATGCATCAGGTGGAACTGGAAAACCTTTCTTAATTTTAGTCATTCTTGCAAAGGTTAGGATGCAAGGTAATATCGCTTTAGCACTTGCATCATCTGGAATCACTGCGACATTGTTAGATGGTGGTAGAACAACCCATTCGGCACTAAAGTTGCCACTAAACATACATTCATGTGAAAATGCAGTATGCACTATATGGCTAAAGTACTTCAAAAAAGTCACATCATTGTTTGGGATGAATGCACAATGGCACATAAGTATTCATTGGAAGCATTAAATCGAACACTTAAAGATTTAAATGCCAAGGATAGACTTTTTGGAGGCGCTTTAATTTTATTGGCAAGTGATTTTAGACAAACATTGCCAGTTATTCCAGGTTCAACCTATGCTGATGAAGTCAATGCTTGCCTCAAATCATCTATTTTGTGGCGTAGTGTCCATATATTGCGACTTACCGAAATCATGCGTGTTGGACTACAGAGGGATTTAGCTGCAGAACTATTTGCAAAACAATCGATGGATATTGGTAATGGAAACGTAAGTCTTCATGAAAATACGCAATTTATTAAATTGCCAGAAAATTTTTGTAAAATTGTTAATTCGAAAGAGGAATTAATAGAAAGCTTATTTTCTCACACATATCAAAATTATCAGAACCATCAATGGCTTCAAAGTAGAGCGATTCTGGCTGCCAAGAACTTAGATGTGCTACCTGGTAATTTAATTTCGTTAAAATCCATCGACACAGTGGTAGATGAAAACGAGATTGTGAATTATCCCACTGAGTTCTTAAATTCGCTTGATTTGCCAGGACTACCACCACACAATGTAGTTTTAAAAGTTGGTTCACCAATCATTTTATTACGCAATCTAAACCCACTAAAATTATGTAATGGAACATGATAAGTAATTAAAAGACTTATGGGGAACTTAATTGAATCAACAATATTAAGTGGAAAATTCAGAGGAGAAAATATATTGCTTCCACGCATACTAATTATACCAACCGATGTTCCAATTCAATTCAAACGATTGCAATTTCCAATTCGTTTAGCATTTGCGATGAGATTAATAAATCTCAAGATCAAACATTAAAAGTATGTGGACTGAATTTGGAACATCCATGTTTTTCGCATGGGCAACTATATGTTGCATGTTCCCGTGTTGGAAAACCTTCTGATCTATATATATACGGTCAAAATGGCTTAACAAAAAATATTGTTCATGATTTAGCTTTAAGATAACATAAGAGCTCATAATAAAACTGTTAATATAATATTAAAAAAAAAACATGAAAATATTTGTAACATAAGTAATGCATGTGGACTTTTTGCAGTTCAAAAGAAAAAATCAATTCAAAATAATTTTCGCATTAAAATGCTAAAGGTTAAGTTGAATAACAACACACATATTATAACTCAACTGAGCCAGGAAAATTAATTGCAAGGGGAAACAACGTTCGCCGGGTCAGCTAGTATATATATATATTCCAACTAAACAATATATAGTATTTAGGAAAAAAGTGTTCTTAATTAACGAAATCTCTAAATTTAACACAACACTTCTAAAATCTATCAAGATCTCTACAATTCTAAAGTCTGATGACTCTATCTCTAGTAGCTCTAGAAGTTCTATTGTATTTGGTCATTACCCTCTATGACCATCAACTATATCCTTTGCTAATTATATGTCAGCGTTTGGTGTTCATTATTTAACAGTCTTATTGACTAATGTGTCCTCCATATCAAATATTATGCACAGTCCAAACTTATAATCTTGAGTTTAGCACCAGCTGTACGTTTTATTAACTCATTATCCAACTATGTTGCATTCTTAACTTGCATTCTTCTGTATACTTGAACTATTTTTTTTTGGAAGCGGGATTTTAGTCCCAAATCAGATGGGTAAAATTAAGCCCACAGCATTTACGAAATTAATAATTAGTCTCGAATTGTTTTAGTTGTACTTCTAGGGCGCAAAATAGATCTTTTAGATCGGACTGCATTCATAGTCTATTATTTAAGAATAATATGGGTTCAGATCTACTTAGAATATTTTACTTTATTTCAATAAGAAAAATAATTAATGAATTCATTTCTTCAAATATCGTGATTATATAGCTCAAGAAACTGATCCCTTTTTCTTCTAGTCTTACACGACTTTACTTTTATGTAATGTTTTGTATATGTTTATGTTTTGTATATATTTGCATTTTAATTATCCATTACACTATTTAAAACAAAAAAGAAACAGGTCTACATTTAGTACATCGGTTGGCATTGTTTGATACAGTTTTATTAAATTGAATTTCAAAAGTTTATTGAATAAATTTCAAATTTAAAGCTTAAGAAATTTCTGGAAATATATTGGAATATTGTGTTGGAATATTATCTATTGGATTTTAACCAGAATTGATAAGCAACTATGTTAATTACAGAGTTTTTTGAAAATCAGGATATATTCATAACTGGCGCTACAGGTATATAACATAAAGATCTTTGAAGAATAACGTGGTTTTGAATTAATAATTCGGTGTAAGTGGATCAGACCTCTTCGATTCTAAGAAGTTGGAATCTCAAGATCTGCTGAAATTAAAAAACCTATCGTTGTTAAAAGTAATATTTAAACTGAAATAGATAATTTATAATTACAAAAATAAAGTCATTATCGACCCGGTAGTGTTAATGTTTGGTCTGCGTCTTTGGTCTTGATACCAAACAATACAAAGGTATTAAAAGTATAACCAAGCATATATTTTTCGTAAGGGCAAAATTGTGTTTACTTATTTATATAAATATATATAAAATCGATTTGTTAAAAATAATGCCTGATAAATAATAAAGCCTAAAAGTGCTATTTGACCTAAGAAAAGTTATGATTCAGTTACATTTGATTATGTCCATTTTTTTGTGTTTAAAATATATTAGATTATGCATTCAGTTGCATTAGAAATGCATAAGGAAGTATATTAATTTAAACAATAATTATATATGGTACATTGCTTAAGCATTAATAGGTTACGCTCGTGTGAGATTTCCACCAACGACTTTAAAAAATGAAGAATGGGGTTTTTTCATATACATAAGTATAATATAGATACTGTCATATTTAATGTGGACTAACCATGTCTGATGGACAGCTCTGATTCACACTAATATGCTATTATAAATCCAATACGTCTTAACAGTGCGACTATTTCAATTAAGACCAATAAGTAATAATGACTTAAGCATAATAAAATTAATAAAATAAAATTAATAATAAATAAATAATTAAAATAAATTAACTAACTTAACAAAATTAACTTAATTAATTAAGTTAGTTATCATTAATTAATATTAAAATTTCAACAATTTATTACCTATTTTTCCTAACATCTAGAAAAATAGTTTAATTGATGAGCGGTACTACTTCGTTTCAGCAAATGGCTTTACAAAATAAACAAGTGTTTAGTTTTTAGTCCTCGTAACACAACTGGAGAAATCTCAAGAAATCTCTGTGTAACCAGGTAGTACATAATATCTTCTAAGCTTTTAAATATATCGTCTAAAACTATCGTCTGGAGTTGCAATGAAATTTCTAATTTCTTTAATGATTGTTCCTTCCTAGTACTTAAAAGGCCTCAAAGCCGAAACGGTGCACAACTGAAGGAATTTGTAATTTCTTTAATGTTGTTGTAACCTGCTAGGATCTAAAAAGCAGATAACATGAAAGGATTAACAAGACTAATACATAGATTGGAATGTGGATAGGTTATAGTAAATTGAGGGAGAATCAAGGAGTATCTGTGGATTGGGGTTTGGGGTTGGGTGGTGTTTAATTAAAAATCAACCCAGGTCAATGGTCAATGGGGTGAGTTCAAATGTCGATTAGATGGAGGTTTGTGTGTGCAGTGGAATGTTTTTTTAATCATTTTTCCTAGTATTAAAAAGTCTCAATCCCTATATTAAACACGAAGGGGAGAATCTGAAAATTTTGCTTATAATATTTACTTTTCTAATCTGGTGGTATATATTTAAGAGATTGCGAACTTTAATACATCGTCTAAGGCTATCTTCGTGAGATATGGCGTAATTTGTTCTTTGTAATTTGGTTAGTGTCACAAATAAAGTGACAAAGTACTTGGATTTTGAGCATTGAAAGTTTGTGCAGCCTTGGCTAATTGTGGAAAAACACGTTTAGTCTAATTTGATTCTAATTTGACAGGCACGAGTTCTAAGCCTGGCACTTGCGGACTAGGTTAGGTTAGTTTAAACTGGTGACAGCCCAAGAGATCCATTTAGGCTTATAAGCCCATTGTGTTAGCGTATATTTAAAAACTTAGGCGTTAGAACCACTTAGAACCTTTGGCAGAGCTTATAATGCTATTTAAGGGAGTATAAATTACTGACTAAACTATAAACTATTTAAAAATAAAAATTCGAATATTTTCTAAAATCACTGATGATGAGTAGTACTTGGGAATACTCGAAATATCGTTGTATGGTCAATCAAATTACAATAAATTAATTAAAATTTGTGTTATTGTTTCTTCATTACAGTTCGAATCCCTCTAATTTTGAAATTTGTGATTGTTGAAATCATTGTTGCTATTATTAAAAAAGTTTCAAGCCAGAGTAACAATATGACTGGACAAATCTTTAAATTAAGCTCGCTTTATATATTTTTCTAACGTGTTATTATACCTTTGTGAGATCTCGATACAGATCGGGTTATGTATATGTCAGCATTCTAGACTTCGCTACTTACTGTATATGTTATATCTATATAAATCATATACGTATATTTTTGAACGATTTTAATATATTTTTATTTTAACAAAATTAAGGCTTCATTGGTAAAGCCTTGCTGGACAAATTATTACGTTTATCACCAAATATTGGAAACATTTACGTGCTTATACGAAGCAAAAAGGGAAAAAGTGTTCAGGAACGTTTAAAAGCGCTTTTAGAAGCTCCTGTATTTGAGAACTCTTGGAAAGAGCAGCCGCAGAATATATCGAAAGTATATGCGATCGATGGCGATACCACTAAGTTAAAACTGGGTATTGGTAATGATGATATGGAGAAATTGAAAAATGTTTCAATATTAATACATGCGGCAGCTACTGTAAGGTATGTTTACAAATTTCTTGTATCAAAATGTTTTTAATTACTTTTATTTAACAGATTCGATGAGCCTCTACATCCTGCTATACTTCAAAATACACAAAGCACCTATGAAATTATAAAAATTGCAGAGAATTTGAAACAGCTTAAAGTTCTCATGCATGTATCGACAACATTTTGCAATTCTAATCATACTGAGAGCGATGAAGAGGTAATAAACAATAAGACTAGATCCATAAAAATATTATAAAATATATGTGATAAGATATAGGCCTTATTAAAAATAGCAAAATTTATCACATCAGCTTTATCACAATTCTGTCTGCATAACGTCGGTTAAACCTACTAGGGACTTATTTATCAGAGGAGTTATTCGTCAGTTCCAAAACCACCCTTTGAAGAGTTTCTTATAATTTATTAAAGTTTGAAATAGTTAAAGTTCGAAATAGTTTGAAAACTAACCAACGAACCTAACCTATTAAAAGTAGCTAATAATGAACAATTTTAAATATCTGAACTAGTTATATGGGTTCGAAAATTATTTTTAACTAAAATTTATGGGTTCATTTTTCATAAGATAAATCTATAAATTTATATATAATTTTCAAAATGTCTCCTTAGTCACTATAGAGCGGAAAAGAACAGAACACATTTCTTTCTAGGATAAAAAAGTCTGCATTCTTAGAGTCAGCTTTTTTAAAGTTGTTACACTTTAGGAGAGACCCTATTGATAATTAGTTGTCTAAATCTAAACATAAACATGTTTGTCCAAATCTATTTTGTGTTGTCCATGACACACCACTACTATTCGGGAATCTAGAGTTCTTTCGATTTGAAAACATTGATGTAATTATTATTTTTTAATGGTAATTATTAATTATTATTTTTTAACTACTAATGGGATAGTAGTTAAAAGCAATAGCATTAATCATCACTTACTGGTACATGTAATCGTGATCGGCTTTTTGCGTACTGAGTCTTCCAGAACTAAGGGGGTCCTTTGGAGTTCTTAAATCGGTTCTAAAATAACCGCTTTAACCTGACATTTAAGTTATTATCATAATAAATTTAATCCAAACTTCTTCCTATATATTCATAGGTTTTTCAGGCTTGTGCGGATTGGCGAACAACAATAAAATTAGCTCAAACTTACGATGAAGACACGTTGGAGACCTTAAGTTTAAAGTAAATTTAGTTTTTACTACATTACATAAAACTATACTTTGTGCTATCACAAATTATGTATTTATATATTACAACAGATACATCAACCCATCAGCAAATACCTATACATTTACGAAAAACTTAGCCGAGCAAATCATAAATGAGTACCGTTACAAATTACCAGTAGTAATCTTTAGACCATCAATAGGTATTTTATTATAAAATAAATATATTTTCACGCGATTTGAATTTCTTTAATTTTTTATATCAGTTTTGCCTGCTCTTAAAGAACCATTGCCTGGTTGGATAGATAATTTAAATGGTTATATAGGTCTTATGCTAGCCTGCTGTTTGGGTATCATGCGTACTAATTATATTACACATTCAATTATACACGATCAAGTACCGGTAGATATGGTAGTACGTGCTATGTTAATAGCATGCTTTAAGAAGGGATATCTGTAAGTAAATTATATAAGTTTGGAACTATTAATATTATATTAATAATGATATATGTCATAAAAAAATGATCAGTTCGAGAGACGATAACAATTTAGATGTTTATAACATGGGCTCAAAAGACTACATACGCGTAAATTTAAAAGAATTTGTTATAATAGCTGAAAAAGAATGTAAAAAAAATCCATTTAAGAAAACATTATGGACTCCTGGCGGAAAACCGACATTATGTCCATTTACATTTGTAATAAGAGTAAGTAAATTTTTCAAGTTATTCGCATATGTACGCATACATAAAATATGCTTAATAGAGAAAGCAATTCATATATTACGATTTTTTTAGTATATTTTCCTACAACTTTTGTTGTCATATCTGGGAGATATTGGTCTGCGTTTATCTGGGCAGAAACCATTGTGGGTATTAAATATTTATAATAATTATTTGATATATTTTCCAAATTTTCTAGCCTTTTTAAATTGCAACGACGCATTTTTGTTGCAAATAACGCAATTAGTTATTTTACAAATAGAGACTGGATTTTTAAAAATGACAAATGCATAGCTTTGGAGACTATAATACCAAAATCGGAAATGTAATTCTATCTTTTAGAATAAATCAATGTCTTATTAGCTAATTAAAATATTTTTTTAATGTTTAGTGACAAATTTGGCTTAACGGAATACTTACATCGAAATGAAGGTAAAATTATCGCTACTTATATGCGCGGCTTGAAACTATTTTTAATGAGCGAACCTGAAGAAGCCAGTAAAGGGACTTGGAGACGTTTTAAAATCTTAACGTATACCAATTATTTATTACAATTTTTAACTGTTTTAATAGGAATAAGGTTTCTCATATATTTGCTTTTTTAATATTTCTTTAAATGATATTAAATGAACTTTAAAAATTTTCCTAAAAATTAATTTTGTTTTTAAAGAAAGTGATAATTGTTTAAAATTGTTTATATATAAATAATTATGTAATAAAAAAAAAAATAATATGAATTGTTTACTAGTGCTTATGCCAAAAATTAATAAAATTGTTTGTATAATAATTAAGTAGCAGAAATAAAAATTATATAAATTAATAACTAATGTTTATGCAATGATTTTAGCGATCCTTTGTCTAAGTGTCTTGTTCTTAATGACCTCTCAATCCAGTTATTACTGCTATGATTATTAATCTGAGGTCGTTCTTTTTTACAAGCTCTCTATTAGATTGTTGTAAATCTGGGTTCAGATTCGAAGCACAGTTCTTAATAATCTCTTTATTAAGTTATCGCGCCTCTAGCTTTTGATCTGACTTTACGGTTCTTTATAAATTGTCTGTTGGAATATTGCAAATCTGGCTTTTAATGTAAAGGCATTATTGTAAATAATCTCTTAACTCAGTTATCACGCATCTGGGTTTTTAATTGAGATAATAGTTTTATAATCTCTCTAGTAAGTTGTTGTGATTATAGTCTTTGATTTAAAATCATAATTGATATTCATAATCTGTTAATTCAGTTATTAAACCTCTGTGTTTGATTAGAGGTAATTTTTTACAATTTTTATTTTGGGTTATTGAGAACCTAGTCTTTAATTTGAAGTTATGTTCTCCTATAAGAAGCTGATTTCTTAAATATTTCTTCAAAATTTGTCATTTTAGTTGTTTTACCACTGGTTTTTGATTCGAAGTAATGATGTTTCACTTAGTCATGGCTTACAATATCTATATTGTGTTGTTACGGAACTAGTTTTTGTACTAAATTAATAATTCTTAATACTTCCTCAATTGAGTTACTACGCCTTTGGTCTTTGATATAAGGTTATGCTTCTTCATAATTTCTTCTTCGAGTTGTCTCGATTTTTGCTTTTGATCAGTCATTCTTCATAATAATCTCTCAGTTCCGTTATTACGCCTCTCGTTTTTGATTTGAGGTTATGTTCTTTATAACTTATCTATTGGAGTAATGTGATTCTTGCTTTTGATTGAGATTTATTATTTTTAATAATCTTTAAATTCAGTTATTACTAGTATCCTTTTGCTTTTGACTCGAGGTTGTGATTTTTTACAAAATAACTGACATGGCTTTCTGACGGTTTGTTATGGATCTAGTTTTTTATCTGAATTCACAGTTCCTAATAATCTATTATTTGCGTATCTGACTTTTTGTCTGTACTGTAGTTACAACATATTTATTAGGTTATTGTAATTATAAATTTTGATCCCAAATCTTTATTCTTAAGAATTTAAAATCCTTGACTCTAGTATCTTGTTAATAGTAAAAATTAAAGTCAAGACAAATAGCTAAAGTTATAAAAATAAATTGTTAAGTTCATTAACATTTAGCAGTCCTATTAAAATTTTAGATTATGCATTTTTTGAAAAAAAATAATTCTCAAAATAAAAAAAATATAAACCTTTGAGTTGGTAAAGAGAGCTGAAAAATTTCCATATTCACATTGGCAGTCTATATGTATCGATTGAATGTGTAGCAATGGTGCTATGAAGTACAACGTATAATATTTATTCGAAAATAATTAATGAATTAGGAATTCAAATTAAGTATTTTAAATTATAACTAATTTTAAAGCAAAATGCTATATTGTTTGGAGTATTTTAAAATTCAAGAAAACAGTTGAAGTGTTGCACAGTGAACGTACGGTTTAGATTTCATAAACTCCGAAAGGTCTGCAATATTAAAAATTTTAAAACTTTATAATAAATAATTTATTATTTAACAGTATAAAAATTAAATTTACTTAATATACTTAAATGTGGTTATCAGTGTAGTTTATATTTAAGCAATTAAATATATAATTGCGATCGTAAAGTCTATAGGTGAAATTTTCCTATTCAAATTGAACGTCTTTATCCATAATTTTGATTCGAAAATCCATATTATATATATATATTCCAACTTAATAATATATAGTATTTGAGAAATAGTGTTCTTAATTAACGGAATCTCTAAATTCTATTCTAATAAAATTTAACACAACACTTCTAAAAGCTATCAAGATCTCTACCTACAATTCTCAAGTGAGATGACTCTATTTCTAGTAGCTCTAGAAGTTTTATTGTATTTGGTCACTACCCTCTATGACCATCAACTATATCCTTTGCTAATTATATGTCAACGTTTGGTGTTCATAACTGAACTCTTATTGACTGTTAAATAACAGTTAATCTGTCCTCTATATCAAATACTACGCACAGTCCAAACTTATAATCCTGAGTTTAGCACCAGCTGTACGTATTATTAACTCATTATCCAACTATATTGCATTTTTAACTTGCATTCTTCTGTGTACTTGAACTATTTTTTGAAGAAGAGGACTTCAACAAATATTTTGTCATATGGAAATAGTTTTTGTTTCGTAGATTTTATATATCTCGTAGATTTATATATCCTGTTTATGAAAAAAATAAAAACCACAGATATGTTGAACTATTAACAGATCTGTATTCGTTCCATTTATTGGAAAGCGACATTAATTATTGGGGTAGTATTATTATTTGAAGTATTAGTATATAGTTTCAGTGTCGAGAGAGCAAACCATCGGAGATCTGGGTGATTTTAGAACGTTGAAGTCTCACAATAACTTTGGCTTCGATTTAAAAAAAAAAACATTTAGTATCGGTGTATGTGATGAGAAGTATATATCATATACACATATTTGATATTTAATATACATAGGTATATAAAAATTATTTACTTGTGGTATAATCCATTTCATAAGGAAATTCAACTGAATGAACTACAACAAATTATTCATCGCTATCGATGAAAAAAATCGCGGTCGTACTTACTAAAATTCACTATATTAAAAAATCTACGTTATGAGTAATTATATATAATATATATCTCCACAATATAAATAACAACACCTAGCCATTGAATCTTATGCAGTAAAAGTTTTACTGTTTGTGAATAAGAAATTCTAATTGGTCACATCAATTCTATTTTAATTTATTCGACCTTTTAATGAACCCGATGATTCTTGTAAATTATACATACATATATATATACACATTTAACCCATATTTTAACCCATATAAAAATTTACATTCATGGATTTTAACATATATTATTTATTTACAGAATAATAGAAGTACTGGAATTATGTCGATTAGAAAATTTTTTAAAAATCAAGAAGTGTTTATAACCGGTGGTTCAGGTAAGAGATTTAATGTTAATATATTATTTAATTAATTGTAATTTTTTTTTAAATATATTTCATTCATTTATTAAATTTTATATAATTATTTAATACGAAAAGGTTTCATTGGAAAAGCAACGATCGAGAAACTATTACGTTCCTGTCCCAATGTTGGTAATATATATGTCTTAATGCGTAGTAAAAAGAATCGGAATCCTGAAGAGCGTTTACGTGATATTTTAAAATCTGCACTTTATAATCGTATAAGACAAGAAAATCCACAAGTTTTAAAAAAAGTAATTGCAATCGAGGGAAATTGTGCTGAATTGGGTTTGGGTATAAAACCAGAAAATTTGGAGAAATTAAGGAATGTCTCCATAGTAATTCATTCAGCAGCAAGTGTTAGGTATATCGAAAATTATTAAACCTATTAAAGTTTGTTATATATATTTATTTAATTATTAATAGATTTGATGATGCTTTACGCGATGCTATAATTTTAAACACACGCGGAACTCACGAATTAATTAAGATCGCAGAGACATTGAAGAATCTGAAGGTGTTTGTGCATATTTCTACAACTTATTGTAATCCGGACAAGCAAGTAGTAGAAGAGGAAGTAAGTAAGAAAGTTGGGGGAATATAGTTCTTTCCTATTTTATTTAAAGTTTTGAGTGAAAAACAAAATAACTATAAAAGTAGTTCACTTAGGGCCGATTTTGCAACTGAAGTCTCAAACATAGTAGACAGAGTTTAACCTCTATGTGAAGTACTAACTTATGTACATATTTTTTTCTTACTTAGGTTTATCCAGCTTTCGCAGATTGGCGCACTACTATAAAACTAGCAGAAACATATAATACTGAAACGTTGAATATTTTAAATTTGAAGTAACTTTATATTATAATGAATTTGTGTATATATGTATACAATATTTAAAACAATTATTTTTTGTTACAGATATAGTAATAATCAACCAAATACATATACATTCACAAAAGGATTATCTGAACAAATAATTAATGATTATAAAGATAAATTACCCTTAGTAATATTTAGACCTTCAATTGGTATAAATCACAATTAATAATTTATATATATAATTTGCCTTCTATTAAAAATATTTTCTTAGTTATATCATCGCTAATTGAACCTTTTCCTGGTTGGGTGGATAATTTTAATGGACCTATTGGACTGCTAGTCGCCTGTGGTACCGGCATAATGCGTACAATGTATGGTGATCCAGATATTGTTTCTGATTTTGTACCTGTAGATATTGCAGTACGTGCACTTTTGATGGCTGCGTATGATAGGGCCATGGAACCGCATGAGTAAATTATAATATTTGCATATATCATTTAATATATCCACAATTTTTATATATGTATATATTAAGTATAAATAGAGAAGATAATGATTTGAAAGTGATTAATTGTGCCACGGCTTCAGTTTGTCCCATAACTACTGGTCAAATTATTGAATATGGCAAAGAGATTGTTAAAAAAAATCCATTTGATAAAACATTGTGGGTACCAGGTGGTAGCATAACACGTTGTCCTGCTTGGAATTTTATACGGGTATGTCTTTAAATTTATTTATTTTTTTTTACTTTCTATGATTAATATATAATTTTGTAGTTCATAACAATGCATGTATTTATGGCAGTATTGGTGGACTCAGCTTTACGTTTCTTAAACCAAAAGCCCTTGTGAGTTCCTTTCTTTGTTTTTTCTCTTGATCTGTTTTCTGAATTAATTATATATGTATTTCTGAATTTTCAGCCTTCTTAAAGTACAACGTCGTATTTATATGGCGAATTTGGCTTTACATTATTTTGCCACTACCTCATGGGTGTTTAAAAATAACAACTTGATTGAATTAGATGCAAATGTCTCGGATGCTGAAAGGTTAGTAAAGACTTCTATGATATATCAAGGTCAAAAAAGTTAAGTTAAAGCTTTATTTGTAATTTTAGCTGTCAAATATTTTCATTTTGCATTGAAAGCTACAACAATTGACAGCTACAATTACAAACAGAACTCTCGTG